CCTACAAAGCCGGGATGGAGCACGCCGGGTTCTCACCGGACCAGGCTCTCACATCACCAAGCGCGAAGCGCCGTGAGGTATTTGGCGAGTCGCATGAAGGGTGAGCTGCATCCTGCTAAGGGTGTTCGGCATCTTGTGCTTACTTCCTTGCGTACGGATGACAGCTGCGTATGACTTAATTTATTTTCTGGTGCTTTCACTTCCAGAGACAGTTGTAAGCACTGTGTAACTGCCTCGAGGAAGCTTGACCATTTTAACACAACGTGGTGCGATCATCCCCCGTTGCGCGGAGTGAGGTTTCTCGACCCCGCACAACATGATCTACTCGACCACCATTATGGTTACCGCCAAAAAAAAAACCAGAGGTAAAAAAAAAGGGGGGGGGGGGGGGGTGTACTCATAGTTCATGCAGTGCCGTATCTCCTTTGACCATTGACTCTCGCATCCCTACAAAGCCGGGACGGAGCACGCCGGGTTCTCACCGGACCAGGCTCTCACATCACCAAGCGCGAAGCGCCGTGAGGTATTTGGCGAGTCGCATGAAGGGTGAGCTGCATCCTGCTAAGGGTGTTCGGCATCTTGTGCTTACTTCCTTGCGTACGGATGACAGCTGCGTATGACTTAATTTATTTTCTGGTGCTTTCACTTCCAGAGACAGTTATAAGCACTGTGTAACTGCCTCGAGGAAGCTTGACCATTTTAACACAACGTGGTGCGATCATCCCCCGTTGCGCGGAGTGAGGTTTCTCGACCCCGCACAACATGATCTACTCGACCACCATTATGGTTACCGCCAAAAAAAAAAAACCGAGGTAAAAAAAAAAACAAACGGTAACCTGGTTGCCGAGTTCACGAAGTGAATTGGCTTCTTTTACAACGTCGTTGCCAAGCGACGAAAACCCAACCCCGATGGCAAACACCGAGTGGGGGGCTTGTTTTACAACGTCGTTGCCAAGCGACGAAAACCCAAACCCCGATGGCAAACACCGGGGGGGGGGGGGTATTCAAATTCGGGCACGGGCGTACAAAATTGTCAAGACAAGAGAAAAATAAATATTCTTGGAACAGTTCGGACGTAGGTTTGCGCGTGGTTTAGTCTCCCCCTCACGGGGTCCCGGATCATGAAGCTTTTTCTGCTTCTATTCATTGGTCTACACAATAGCAGGCTAGCGCGGTCGATGCTAACAAAAAATCACACACACGGCGGCGCGCACGCGAGACGTGTGTGCGGCGCAATAGCGCTCTTCATCACCTCGCAAAGGTGAGGGTCCAGCTTGATCGCCCTCGTGTACGCGTCCAATGCGTCTCTGTTCTGGTGCAGCTGGTAGTAGAGCACCCCCAAGGAGCACCAGACGTTCGGGTTATTCGGATCGCAGTTGCTGCGGAACAGGCACGTGAGTCACACGTGACAAGGGCACCGAAGCAAGCAGGAAGTTAGTGCGCTGGCTCGTTTGTCGGCGAAGACGCAGGTGGGGGTCAGGGGGGCGCCTGCAAGCCGCAGTCAAGTCGTAAAGGGGGCCAAAATGAAGTTGTTTGTGCGGAATCGATTGTCGGTGGAGATGCATGTGGGGGTTGGGGGGCCAACTGCAACCTTGCTCCATACGAATGCTTGCTGTTACCACGCGGCAGCAGCAGGACGCCTGCAATAAGGCATGGATCGTCAGCTACACGCTGCTGCTGGTGTGATTCCACATAACGCAACCAAACAGCTCGTAGTTGTTCCGCGCAACAACCAGAACAGGCCAAAACCTTCAAGGAAAAGAGAGGGACCTCTTGCTCCCAATCCAAAAATCCAGACTCCAAAGATCTTCCGCAACCAACAACATGAGCAGAACTGCTGTATCCACAGCGATTGAACACTTACACGGCTTGCTCGTACGCAGCGTATGCCAGTTCGTGCTTATGGGCTGCCATGTAGCAGCGCCCCAGCAAGTACCAGCCTAGTCCCTCCTGAGGATCTGTCGCGACAGTGGCAACAACAAAAACAGCAGCAGCAGCAGCAGCAGCAGCAGCAGCGGCAGCGGCAGCACAACCGCTCAGCAAGTGAGTGTCACACTATCACCGCGTCAGCCTCAGACGATGTGGCAACAGCAATACCATCACCGACACGATTGGCGCAAGTTCGTGCGTATTACAGTCAGTTTCACAGCGCCAGCATGAAAACATTCGGCCACAACAACAACAATCGCAACAGCAACACCATCCTTGCGTGCGTATTATCTCCTCTGCAACCTCCGTACCGCTGCTACCGGGGGTATCCGGAACCGTGCCCAACGTGTCTTGTCCCAATGTACACGCAGCGCTTCGAGAGCGAGCGCATGAGCGTGGCGGCCTCCCACACGGCGGTCGCCTCCCTCCGCCTACTCGCAACAAACACGCTTGGTATTGCACCGCGGTATTCCCACCCTATGCCTCGGGCACACGACCGTACCTAGCTACGACGAAGACTCACACCAAAGGTCTGCTGTACCTACGGCAGCATCCCTGATGCTCGCTGCAAGACCTAAAACAAAAAAAAGTCTTGCGACTGCTGTCGGGCGAAATTTGTCATCGATGTATATACCGCCGAGCAATAATAGTGCCCCCCCGCCCCCCACCTATCTCGGAGGCCCGTTTGAGGTACTCGATGGCAGAGCGGAAGTCATCCTCGTCCTTGTAGTGGAGCCAGCCCAGCTGCTGCAAAGCCTTTGCGTGGTTCTTGTTGTACTCCAGCGCCTTCACGTAAGCGTTCTTGGCCAGCTTGATCTGTCGGGTTGCCAAACAGCACCACCCGCATGCGCAGATTAAAGGAATTCCTAAGCAAAAAACAAACTAAGTTTGTCACGAAAACAACACCAGGCAGGGGGGACGCAGACCGTAACCCTAATCCAAAACCCTAACTAATCCGATTTTATACTTCATCCAGCGCGTTTGCTGCTTAGAAAACCTGCGTAGACTACTGCGATGGCGGAACCGAGCGGCGAGAGACAGCCATGTTGTGGTTGGTCTGTGCATGAAAATGCGTCCATGTAGTCGCTGCTGGGCCGGACTCCGAAAATAATCAAGCCTGTTGGTTGACGGGGGACCGTTTCTTGTGGTTGATCGGTCCACCCGGTGGGGTCGGCTGGACCAGTCTGTTTGTCTGGAACGAGCTCAATCGGTCGGTCTTTTCGGGCCGTCCTCTTGAAGGCAGATGGTTGACCGGACTGATCAGTGCGCAAAACATGCCGCCGGAGATGCTTTTGCTTCTTGCTTCATTGATGGGTCGGGGAAAAGCTTCGTTGGCCTTCACAGCGATGAAGCGCAGCAGCTCCGACGCAACCAGCTGGTCGACGGCTCCAATCTAAAGTATCCCTCTAGACGCAGATAGGACGGGGAACTGGTTCCCTTCAATCAACCACGTAGATCGTCCGACGAGGAAAAAGTCGTCCTTTTGCCAGATTACACAGACAAAACTTGACAAAAGTGTTGGGCTGTCCGGAGTCAATGGTTTGACGCTGGCTGGATCATGGCTCGTACCCTCTCTTGTACCACCATATTACCGTAGGGTTGGGGTAAGGGTTGCCCCCCTCTCCCCCTCCCCTCCACCCCCGGCAGCAAAGATCGGCCAACGGTGATCGGTCCTGTGGGAACAATGCTTCGTCCTCTTGAGGGCGCGTGGTCAATGGTCTATAACCGCTAAGGCATGCAAAACATAAAAGAATACGCCCGCCCCACCCACCCCCGGCAAACACACCTCTCGCTTGAGCTCGTAAACGTGTCCGATTTGCGACCAGATGTCCCCGCACCAGGCCGGGTCGTTCACCGCCTGCAGGACATCGTGAAGAATCTACAGGCCAAAACACGCAGCAGCAGCAGCAGCAACAGCGGCGGCAGAGGTTCCGCATGAGGTTCGACATTGCAGAAGGTTCGCGGAGGTTCAATGAGAAACGTGTGACATACACCCAAGAACCAAATATACGTCCGGTGGTGCATGTGGATGTCGGGGTGAACCGCGGTGATGCTTCACCAGCAGCAGCGTGGAGAGAGAGAGAGAGCACCAACAGAAGAAATGAGGTCCATGTTTGTACATGCCGGAGCCACCAGAAACCTGTCTGCTTCCGATCTACTGGAAGCCGTTGGGGATGGCTTTCGCGTCCATCCTCTCTGACTCTGTCTGTTTCTAGGTCTGTCTGTCTCTCGTTTTCTCTCCACGCATGGCACATGGACCCCTGCTCCAACTAGACTCGACAAGCAAGCACGCGCGTATTGTTCCACGCACATACATGCGCACGTGGTCAACATACTGTACACATCGGTTCGATAGGTCATAGGCACTTACCAACAGTGCCTCGTCATGCTTGCCCTGCTGCTTGTTGATGATGCCGACCCGGAATCGGACCTGTTGTAAAAACGATCGTTGCGTCGCAGCCCAAAACACGGGGGGCGTCGAGAAGACAGGATTGGCCTTCGGGCTGGGGCTATGGCAAAGATAACCGAAAAAATCGCAACACCGGCTCTTGCTACAGTGGTCCTGTAAAGAACAACTCAACCAATTTTCTGCACTTTTTTGGTTCCGCATGACGAACCACAAAAAAAAAACGGACAAAAATATGCGCATGAGAAACCGGTTGCGCCATCTGCTCCCTCTGAAGCCGGCGTCTTGAGCACGCACACACATGGGGGGGGGTACTCACAGCCGTGTGCGTACCTTAGCGGTTAGACCATTGACCTCGCATCCCTACAAAGTCGGGATGGAGCACGCCGGGTTTTCACCGGGCCAGGCTAGCACATCACCAAGGAGGGGGGGGGGGGTCAACCGCTGCCTCTCCTCCAAGCGGGAGCGAGCCGTGACAAACCAAGCGACCAAAAACATGTACCAGAAGAGCAGAAACGAAAGTTTGGAGGGAACACTTGCCTCGTGGTCCAGCTCGAAGTTGGGATCCATCTTTAGGCAGGCGTCGAACGCCTCGATTGCGTGGCCGTAGCTGCCGTAGCAGTCGTACAAGAGCCCTATGCCGTACCATAGACGCGCGTCCTGTGGGTGACAGCGCCAAAAGGATACCAACGGGGGATGAGCGGGGGGGGGGTCACACCCTTGTCGCCCTTGTAGCAGGGTTGCCCATGAGGGCGCAGCAGCAGCCGTATCGTGTGGGACACTGGTGGCAAGGAACAGTAAGCCTGGCAAAGACACGTTTGACACGATGCCCGAAAACAGTTAAAAGATCACGGGCAAGTGAGGTTACATACTATTTAGTGCAAGACATGTGTCGCCCCTCAAAAACGCGCTCGCTTTTCCCCCACGCCCGACGCCCACGACGTGTTTCGCAAAGGCACAGCGATTGGTGCTACACAACGTTTGGCGCCGTGTCGAACGCGCGAATTAAAAAAACGGTGGAACAACCGGTTGTACCTACATGTGAGGGGGGTTTCGGGCACAAAAGCTCGCGTCTACGTTGATGCTCATGTTCACGGTTCCCTAACCCTAACCAAAGCATCTGTGACCGACTCGCCTGCCTTGACTGCGATTTCGGGAATAAATGTACGCGTCCACACTACGTTTGTGCTCGCGGTTAACGGTGCTGCTGCAAAGCATCTGGTACCGACGGAACCGACCTTCGGGTTCTGTATGTGGTACAGCGCGTGTTGGTACGCCGTGTACGAGTTCTGGAGGTCGTTGATCATGAGGTAGCAGTACGCCAGCTCCTCCCACGTGTGGCCGTCCTTATCATCGAAAGCCACCGCTTGCTGCAAGTACTCTACGGCCTGCACAAGAGGTGTTGCGGAGAGGGGGAGGGGGGATCGAAGCGATAGAATAAAGCCGAAATTGAGATCTTTGCAAAACGGGTGTGGGATTGGTATTGTACACCCAAAGGGATGCATACACGGGTATTTCGGCCTGGTCGGGAATGAGTAGAGTTGAGTAACACCGGCAACAACGTGCCCAGGAAAACGCACAGTTTGGGTTAATACGTTCAAATCTACACAGGTAAAACCAAAGATGGGTGACCTTCCGAAACATCCAGGTGTGGCCTGTAGGGTACACACGTCTGCTGCAATGGCGGAGACCCCCGATGAGGGATAAATACGATGAATCGCATGAGCAGCCTCTAGCCAAATGTAGGGACAGGAAATGTCTACTGTTTGGTTTAAATCCCTCCTCCTCCACCATCTCTCCTCCACCATGTCACAGCAGTAGGTGAAGGTGGTTTAGCGGTGGAGGGTTGATGCAATGCTATGGTTGAGACAAACTTCAACCCAATTTACATCTGTCCCTAGGAAATTCATCTCTTTACCTCCGACGAAGGTTCAAAGCAGCAGTTCGACGACCTTTTACTCCGAGGAGGCCGAGAGAGAGTCGGGGGGGGGCTTGCCCATGGGCACACTCGCAAGTGTCCACACTCATCGCGTTTGGTGCTTACCCAAAGGCAAGCGCATATACATAGGAAGACGGACAACATGCCGCCTCGCGTAAATGGCGATCCTGTGCCTCATCTGAGTCAAGCCTAAGGGATCGTGCAACTGCTGCATTGAACCTTAGCCAGAGTGCGTCCTCGAGGGGCAGATGTACATTGTTGTAGTTGATCTCCACCATATTTGTAGCACTGCATCAACCCTCTGCTCCTCAACCAGCTTCACCTATTACTACGAAGTACCGGTATGTGACAACACCACAGCGGAGAATGTTGTGCGTTGGCAAGGAGCAAAAAATCAGCATCGGCTGAATCTGTTGTTTGGTCTAGGAAAAGTTAAGGTTGATTGTTGGATTATTTACGACGTTGTCAAAGCAAGGACGTCACAATTTGAGTTCTGCCCTGCCCTACTTGTTGGTCTTCAACCAATCAGAGTTCGTAAGTACCTAACCTGAGAGTCTCGAGGATCAACTACAGTAGCAACTAATTATCTGCAAAATTTCCGAGAGCAGCAAACAGCTAGCAGTCATGAACTATTTCCCCTGTGGGTAACAGGCTCAGTTGAACAGGACAGAACATTTCAGCAAATAAATGCCGTTCCTCCATGTTTCAACGTGTACCCATGTGAGATGGGCAAGGGAATACGAAGAATAAGACAAAAGAGAGGGGTGCGGTTAAAGGGAGGGGGGGGGCGTCGACTCGTCAAAAGGAGCTGCGACATCTTGTGCATAACCGCGCTCACGCACAGGAAAGACATAGACAGACCCCTCATGTTACACGCGGGCCACCGCAACAGGTCTCGACTGCAAGCATTGGCCATGGTAGCTCCCTTGATGTTTACCGTAGCCGTGGAAGCAAGGATAGAGCAGTGGGAAATAAACAGGCCATTGCAACGTCAAGGACAACACGGGAGAGAGATTAGTGCGGCCAGCGAGAGCGAGACGGGAGCAAGTCCGAGAGAGTCAAAACACCCTTGCGAGCTTTAGCGGTGGAGCAACAGCAGCAGCACCGTGCTCGTACATGCCCTATCAGTTTGGCCTTTGGAAGTTCGCCGAGCCTGACTCGCGCGGAAGAAAAAACACCTGGAGAGTGGTACGAAGTACTCCATACGGTATCAAGTACTTGGCACAATTTACTCCAAGAAAAAGTAGTTCGTACCTCACAAGTTATTCGAAGAACTACTATCTTATCTTACGTCATGGAGGAGAGCCATTGTATTGCCTCGCGGCCGGTCGAGAGGGCCGCGGCATCTCCCCACTGCTCCACACCCTACCCTAAACTTTGCGTGCAAATGTTTCGGCCAACCACAAGATCTCGCCGAAACCGTCGTCGTGGCCACCAACCAGCTTCCCTAGATACAAGCCTTTCAGTACCGGTACCATGCAACCAATATGTATGCAACAACCGGAGGTATCCACATATCCACATGTGCGTACCTCCTCAAAATGTGGGTGGAAGCTTGTAGATGGAAAACAACGGTATGCATAAGCACTATGTACCCATGCACGCAGTCGTGGCCGGGCACTCTATACAAGTATTAGAAGTATGGTATATTACAGGGCGGGTGGTGGCCGGAATAGTGGTACGGGTGAAAGATCTTGATGGGCCAAGGACGGGAAATCAAGTTGTTTTGCACTTTTTCAACAGGGCGGGGTGTCCGCTGAAAGTGAACGGCGTGCTACACATGGTACACCGCCGTCTTCCAAGACTGACTGCTAAACTGCCCTAGAAAGCACAGCAGTCGAGCGGCATCAGTAGCGGATCGGCGGCTGATGATGCTCCGTTGTTGCATACTACATAGTAGTACAGAAGTAGCGCCGGTGAAATCGTGTGCCGCAGACATGCATATTTTGTGCCGGTGATTATGCAAATGCCGGCCGGCCGGCGCACAAGAAACATGAAAATGTGTGCTAGCAAACACACATGAAGAGGGAGAGAGGTAAAACCGTCACAACTTGTATTCCCACACACCACATGGATAGCGGGTGTATCATAAATATTTAGCTAGCTTTAGGTGTCTCAAGATATAGCCCGTCATTGAGCCACTGCACGGCGGTTGAGCGTGTTCTTGCTCACCATATAAAATAGGTGCCGCTCTTATACCTATACGTTGATCGCGCCGGCGCTGTTGCGTGTTGGCAAGCAGGCCGCCGGCTGAGGGCCTACCTCTTTTGCCGTTGCGCCACACATGGTAAAAAAACACCGCCGCCGCGGCTGCTGCGTTATTGATCGGAATTCTTGGTTGCTGCGTGCAGCACCGCCCGCGCGAGAGAATGTAAAGCCGTGGATAACAACGAGGCGAGCACACGAGAGCGCGCAGGCAACAACCATCTATCTCACCGACCGTCGGTGAATTAAATTAAAACTCCGAAAGTGCTCGTTTCCGCCGTCACACTTGCTTTCCACGAGAGCTCTACATATATGTGCTACCAGGTTGGTTGCATAGTTGACTACCGGTGGGGTGCAACGCGGCTTCAACATGCTACAAATACACGAGGTACCTGACATCAGGCGCTTACAAGGCATGTCTCGAACAACCATGGACGGCGAGTCCGTCCTGTTGAGAACGCATGGGAGAAGCACACAAATTCCATGCGGCCGGAGTCGACATATATCAGAACACAGATGCCAAAAAACGGTGGGTGAGCTGCTTGTTGCGTATGCTACTGGCGCCGAGTCATAACTGTCGCAACCTGTCACAAGCTCATCATCTCGTCCCCCGGGTCACATTTTTTGTTGGACACACGGGGAAATCAAAATTCCGCGTCCTCCACAAAAATGGACTCGTACGTGCAAGCAACCACATCACGCTATTACAGCAGTATAATAGTACTATTGCATCACCTACGGGCAGCAGCGTTGGGGTATGTATGTGGATGGGTATCAATCTTTGTGGGATCACGGTGGTATGGGCGTATGTATGCTTCAAGGAGCAACCCAGGGAGTGCCTGCTGCACCCACCACCAAAACACGGGAGAAACCCGGCCGGCGATGTAGCATAAATACCGCAAGAACATCCACAACATCATCGGCAATGCAATTTCAAAAGACAGACAGATGATGGATTGGATTCCACAATCCATCCTCCATCAACATCAGGCAGACAGAGGACAGAGTGCGGGGCGAGAGACCGTGGGAGGAGGGGAAGAAAAAAAATAGTGCACAACGCCGCCGTGCATGCGCGAACATTACGCTAAAACTTTCGGGTGTAGGTGGCAGCAGGCGGTTCTATATGGTGCAAGCTCTCTCTCTCTCCGACAACCGGTGACCGGCCGTTCGTCGGTTCCCGCCTGCTTCCGGCTGACTCTTCGATGAGCAGTTCTCTGTTACCAAAAATGGAATCCATCATTGATTATTCCTACTAGGGGTGGTGCTCTTGATGCGGGTGCAGCAGCCGGCAGGCAAGCCAGCCAGGAGATGGCTTGGGTGCTGCTCTGCTGTTTCAAGAACAGCCATCCGCAAACGCCGCTACCCCATATATCGGCCTTGACAACCATATTAAGCATTGTCCATCATCACTGCCTGCCTCCGGGCTATCTTTATTGCTCCGTTCGTTCGTTTTCGCCGCGAACCTCAAGAAACAAACGGTAAAGCAAGCAACTGCCATGTGATGCTTGTTGCCGGCCGGGCGGGGGCTGAAGACACGCACAACCAAACAACATCACCTACACAACTTACAATTACGGCAGGACTTCTTTTTCTGGCCATCGGAAAGGAGACGAGAAAACAATCAAGGGCATTTCGTATTCAACCCCAACCAAGGCGGGCTCGGATGGTCGACAAAAACGACAAATTGAGCGTGCCCCTTGGTTTGAGCGGGCTCAAGAAACAAATTAATAATAGCCGTGCAGATATCGGAGAGTCGGAGAGACGCTGACAGCTTGGACACTTGTACATGGTGAAATGATTCTTTGCGGATGGAAGATGTAAAGTTCGGATGATATATCCGCCAGCAGCGGCTATACTTGCAGGTTAGGGGGGTCAAAAAGATTTGGGCAGCCGTTGCCTGCTGTCTGCTGCCGCTGCCCTACCCACAACAATGGACAGCACCTTTCGATAGTCGCCACGGGCCTTGTACACGCCCCCCAGGCCAGCCAGCGCGGAAGGGCTGTAAGGGTTGTGGACCAGAGCCCGCTCGTAGCACTCCATGGACTGTGCTTCATTTTCCATCGCTCTGGACACACCACCCAACGTGCCCCAAGCCTTCTCGTTTGCGTGTGCTAGCTGCTTCAGCGCCCCGTCCACGCCCCCTCCTGCTCCTCCTCCTCCCGCCGCCCCTCCTGCTCCTCCTCCCCCGACCGCCCCGTTCCCTCCCCCGGTGCCCGCGCTTCCCCCTCCTCCTGCTGATGTTGCTCCTGCTGCGTCCATGTGCCCCTGTTGCGGTGGTCCTCTCTGCCTACTGTCGTATGCATCTCCCGCTGCCCCGCCTCCTCCTCCTCCTCCTGCTCCTGCTGCCCCTGCTGCAATGCTCGGCCGTGGCTGAAGCTGGCCTCCCATTGCGTGGGGGTTGCCCAGCCGCCCCGGCATTGGACCCAGGGGTCTCGCACCACTCGAATCCACCAGGCGTGGCTCCATAGCTGCTGCTGCTGGCGCGCCTGAGCAAGCAGCAGGCGACGGGTTCGAGTGGAAAGAGAGAGCAGTTGTGGGTGGGTGTCGTGACAAAATTGTTTTCTTTTCTGTTTTTTTTTCTTAGCTGCCTGCCGGGCAGGGGGGGCGGAGCAAAAATGATGCCGGCTGCCGGGCCGCTGCCCAGCAACTGGTTGACGCTGTAGCTGTGCTCTGCCGCGCTTGGCTGACAGTTGCTACTCTTTCCTGTGCGCAGCACGGACAACCATTCTCCACGAAGAGGCTGAAACGAACCACTTCTTGTGTGGTATAGGAAGAGAGAGAGAGAGAGAGAGAGAGAGAGAGAGAGAGAGAGCGCAATAACGAGAGAGACAGAGATCTGTCTGGAGATAACGGCACCGGGCACTTAGCTCTGCGGTAAGCACCGACTCTGTTGTACTTTTCAGCTTGAGCAATTACTTGGCAACCGCGGACGCTGGCCCGCTGGCTGGCTGGACAGCTGCAGCAAAACCCACCGCCTGTCGCTGAGTCTTCTCTCTGCAACGACTGACGTCGCTGGAAAGCGGTTGTCCTCCAGCGGGCTGCTCCCTAGGCGCGCCCCCACTACCTGTGACCGCCCTGCGTGGCGGAGATTGCAACAAGCATGGGCAAGAAGAGCCGCAGTATCTCCACTGCTACTGGATCCGTTGCCAGCAACAACGCCGCAGCTTCGACGACGACAAGAACGGCCACCGCCGCCGGAGAGAGATCGCCCGCCTACGCAGAAGCAGACAGCCAGCACGAGACCCGCTATCGGAGATTGAAGGTGCGTGCAGAACCAACTCAAACGCTGTGGTTGCGCTCTCTGATGTACCTGCTGTACGCGTAGAATCTGTTTCTTACTGGCCGATAGAGGGAAGATGCGGGTACTGCTGCTGCATCTCCTTGTGTCACAGCGTGCTAACATGTACAACGTGCACGGCTAGCAGGGTCCTCTTGAACACACCACCCGATAGGCCACGAAACAACTTGTGCTTGCTGCCGATCGACACACATGCAGGGGACAGACATGCTGAGGACGAAGAAGTTCGTTGATACTTGCAGCTACCTTTGCCGCTCTGAATCTTGAGATTCGACTGCTGTCCGTTTGTTGGGACGCGTCGGAAATACCATTATTTAGATACGACGCAAGTGTGCGCCCCCACCCACCCAAGATGTTAGTTGAGACCATCGAGCACAATGAAACCTTCTCAAAATGTGTACTACAAATCCCACGGGATAGACAAGACTATTGGTAACCGAAGGAGCTGGTTCCTAAACTATGAAAACGTTCAGCTCATCATTGTTCCTACTGACTGCCGCTGTGTGCTCCGGATCCCTCGGTGCTCCCGACCCCTTCCCTCCCTCTCTTGCACGCACATGCATACCTATACAGATGTTGTTGTACTTGCACCAGCTGGCATCACTGATATAAATCATCAGTGTATACATGACTTAAAAAGACTCGAAATTAGTCCAGTACCCAGCCGGTTTTCCTCTACTCACTGAAAAGACTCCACCACATCCCGCTCGATTACTGTGGGTATATCTCGAATGGGTATTATATACTCGTATTCATTTTTCCTTAATAATGCTCTTGTTCTCGTCGTTGCTTCCGTGCCATTACGGCGTTGGTGCTGTCGGCGCCCAGAGGAGCTTGATATTGATGACATTGAGCTGCGGCATCGCCATGACCGACCTCCTGGTGCTGAAGGAGGGCGTGACGGTGGTCATACCGGACCACAAGCCTCTGCTAGCGGTCGGGATGATTTTTGGTGAGTGAAAAACGAATCTGTAAATGCACTCTCCTGTTATGTAGCATCTGAGAATGCACCCATCGCAAGCACGGACTTAGGCACGGACAGCAGTACAGCAATGTACTAAAGTCACTCCGTCGTTGTTCCGTTTGAAAGTTGTTTGTTGGATTAGCCAGGTGAGAGCAAGGCAGCGGCGGTGGTGGCAACGAATAGGTTTGGGCCCGCTCTGTAAACGTGAAACAAGGCTGCTGCATGGATCGTATTAGTCGTGGAGGTGAAGCAATTGTAGCAAAAGCGGTAGCAGACACCGCTTTTCAACAAGGCGCTGTGGGCCTTGTCAAGCCAATGTTCATTGCACACAAACCGCTGTGCACCGTACCAGAGGAAGCACGACGCTACCATACAGCAGAATAAAAGTAATAGTGTAAAAGAACGGACGTCTTTAGAGAAGTACTTCGTACTACTATATACTTCTTTGGTGGTATACGCTTGAGGCCTTGGTGCCTTGTTCTTTGCGTTGGGCCACAGGAACGTAGACCACAGCTGGTGGATAGTGAGAGGGAAAACCTCTCGTTCATGCTGTACAACACAGACCGCACGTTCGGCCTCACAGATCTCACAGATGTAAGTAGTCCGTGGGTACCCACCCTACAATACTATACTTGCGCATCGTCGTGGCCAGCTTAGACTAGTGATCTTCTACTGCTGTAGACTGGAACTAATGCACTATAATGCTGCATGATCGGGATGTAGGCTATGCCAGGTCCCCGGTGCCGGTGCGTGCTATCCTCCACCCTCTTGTTCCGTTGCGTTTTATACACGAACTGCTGTTGTTGTTGTACCTGCTACCGGGTTCGTAGCACTCCCATGTAGAACTAGGTGGTATTCTTTTTTCTCGTTGTACTGGATACAGGTCAGAGCGATCTATTCTATTTGATCATTTGATAGAGAGCAGCAGTGCTCTCTTGGCAATTGGCCATCCGCCAACCATGATTTGTCGACGGTATCTTTTGATCGTTTGCTGCAGGAAACAGTCCCCCGCCCAAAATGGTTGTGCGGGCATGTCATTTTCTTTTCTTCCCAGCAGCAGTTCTGTGAGCAGGTGTTGTATCCATACTATAGTATGCATACAGCAAGCAGGCCGAAAGGTTTCTTGTCGTCGTTGTTGTTGTGGACGATGGATAAATATCGCGTTCTTTTTCACTTCTCACCAAAAGGAACGGTTTCAGCGGGTCACAGAACTTCGCAAAAACAATAATGGTGCACAAAGTACCCGCTTAAAACCGCTAAATAACGGACGAACAGAGTTATTCTGTCCCCAGAACTTGGAAGTTCCTACTTCCTCCGTGCATAGGCGGTGGAGGGACCTACAAGGTTCGCAACTGCGCCGAAATGGACTGCCTACTGCCTTCGCGAAGAAAGTATGTTTTTTCTACGGAAAATAGAGAAGCAGGTTTACTTGACCCTAAAACACCTAACCTAACCCTAACCCCGAAATTCCACCCTTTCTATTATTTATCCAACGAGTTTGCTTTACAAAAATCGCTGTCTATTTACCGGCCGAATCGAAACCAACACCCTCCCTTTTGTATACACGTCTCTCAGTGTTGGATATTGGTCGGGCAGAAGGGTTCGAGACAATACGCCAATCGTATCTAGAAAAAAACACAAATACCGATATTTTGTTCGATACAGTATCCCGAAAATGGCTCGATACATATCGAGTATCGATACTCGATATCGATACGGCTGTTTTGAAACCCTCAGGTTACAAGAAGAGCGAGCGTTACGCAACTACACGTACCCTGGCACACCCCAACCCTTATCTGAAGTATACAGCAGTGCGCAAGACGTGCGCGCATGGTCCGGCGGCATGGAAGTAGTGGTGTTTGCCAGGTGCCAGGTGTGTGCAGTTAGTTGAACATCACGAGCACAACAACAACAGCGGGCACACGTTGTGATGTAATGTTGCGCATACAAAACTGCATCGTGCAAGAGGCAGGAGTTGGTTGTGTAGCTATGTCCACCAGATATATTTTACATTTTACAGTCAGTGTGCATGTGTGTATACACGTACACACTTTAACACCGCCGTAAGGTTGCGATCGAATCAGTGCAAGCTCGGCTGCGAGCAGGATTTCATGACAAAAAAACGCGAAAAAAACTCGAACACTTGGTTTTATATTATCTTACTACCTTCAAAGTTATGCATGCAAAACTCCACCCACCAGTTGTGGGTGCCCAACAATCAGCAATGCACCTCGAGCGAGTATCAACTCTAGCCACCCAACAGCCAAGAGGAAACAAAAGAAGAAACATGGCGAAAACATTATGTGCAAAAATCAAACGCTTGCCAAACTTGAACACGACATCACCTACCTCTATTCATCACACGCCCAAGTGGTCGGACATGAAATCAAGCACACCTTGCCATTACGTATTACAAGTCCCAAAACCAAGTTCACACAGCATTAATTGTCCGCAGGAGGTACGGCCTCTGTTCGCACTAATGTAGTAGTTCTACTGCTGAAACTGCGGGAAACGCCAAATCTACGTAAGGAGGCAAGCTGACTCTAAAATAACGGGGATGACTGCTACTCATTCGGCAGAGGCAGCGCTATCGCCGGCGACAAAGCCGAATTCTTGAAGGTTCATGTTGCACACCAATGTGGGTCTCAGGAGCTGAGACACAGGCGCTGTTGGTGTGGTGTGTGGCTGGCAGGGGCTGGTGTGTGTGTGGTGTGTGGTTGTGATGACAGTGGGGGGCGACAGGAGTAGGCGCGTAGGTGCCTCCGGGGAGCGAAAAAAGGGGGTAGACAGCTGGGAAACTGACCCCCCCCCGGTAAAAAGGGGGCCAAAATATCGAGTATCGAATACCGATATCGATACCGATACCGATTCGTATCGACAAATATCGGCGTGGAAACCGGAAATACCGATACTGCGTATCGGCGATATATATCAGTTTTGTATCGATATTCGATACCCAATATCCAACACTGATACACGTGCTGCTGCGCGTTGAGAGGTGGCTTTTCCTTGTCCAACACGTTTGCTTTAAAAAATTAGCCGTCTATTTGCTGGCCGAATTGATGCGTTGAGAGGTGGCTTAGGGTTAGGGCCGACGAACCCGATCTGACGTGTGCCAGAGTAAGTATGTATCTGGTGTCGAGCGTTGGTGGTGGACCACAGCAGTACTCTTGCGTGTAGTCGCATGGGTATGTATCTTAGCTCGACTTTCTAACATGCTGCTCGGATCTGTAATCTGTAGCATAGACTTTGGAAGATCCTGAACTTGCAGGGGGAAGGCAGAAAAAAGCCAGCCAGGCAACGCCTCATTTTGTGTTTTACGTACACGTCTGTTTGCTTCAACCAGCCTAGTCTACATGTGTATTGGCTGGCTTCGGTAGGGTTGGCTGGCTTCGCCCGCGTTGTCAGGGTGCTGTGTTGGGTGAGGTGTTGGGGAACCGGTTCTTGTGTCCGTTCGCTTGGGGAACGAACGACCGACCGACCGACCGACCGACCGCGTTGCTTGGCCGATCCGGTCGTCGGCCTATCGTTCGATTCATCACCTTCGGATGCCTTCTGTTCCCTGTGTAAGAATGACAACGAAAAATTTCCAAGACATAACCCATCTCATCTCGAGTGTGTAGACTATACTGCTGTTGTATCCTGAACCAGTTTGAGAGAAAATTTAGGTCTCTACATACACGCACAGCCAGTGTCACGGTTTGAGCACTCCTCACGATGCCCAGTCTCTCGGTAGCCTTTACTGCATATCCACTGCGAACAACCGTTGAACGGAGGATACCTGGGGTGGGAATGGACAGCGCTCCCTTGTCGGGTGTTTGTGTCGGCAGTGTTTTCGAAACTCTTCGGGCACGAGACGCGCGGGAACGGTATGTTTCCTCCCTTCACTCTTTTTTTTGTGTGAAACGTTAGGAGCATCGATCGAACTGGTTCTTCTTCACAGACGGAGCAACACAATAGTGATAGAAAACTTCTGAAAACACTCATGCGCACGCACACACGCAGGGTGGCTTGTTTGGAGACGGTGGAGAGTGTCTAGCAAGCAGGGTCTTCACCCCATGTTCCGAACCTTGGGTTTCATGGTAATTCTGGCGGGATGTCTGGCTGTCCTGCCGTTCAACTCCACGGTGAGAGAGCGCGTTCATTTTTGCGTCTTTTCTCCTCACTCCTTTGCTTGTTTCCCGTACATTGAATCCCGCACATTTCGCTTTTGCCGTACAGGGATCGTACGAATGTACATGAGCACCAGGCACTCATTTGGTTTTTAGTTGATGAAGTGTTCACCGCACACTCGTTCCATCTCCTTTTTCGCTACTACAATACACGTGCCGGTCCAGAGGAAATCATTTTGTTTTCTATGCCCACAGCAATTTTATTTTGTCGCATTGTCTACCTCAAAGCTTCGAAAAAAAAACCTCGGCAGTTACATGCGGGGTGATATAGGTTCGCAATAGCAGATAGTTCTTTTTTTTTGTTCTCTCTCGACCATTGTTGGAGGCGCGACAGTTCTTTTGGGGGGGAGAGACTTGTCCTTAGGAACAAGGATGCGTAGGTAAGATTGGGCACGCGGCAAGGTCGAGGATTGGTTGAAGCAGCGCGAAATCTTGTTGGTCGGCAACACTGGTTACGTGAATCCCCCTCCAACCCCTCTCCCTCGTGGTCAGTGGTCTAACCGCTAAGGCATGCAAAACATAAGAGTACGCCCCCCCTGCTCCGTCTCGAAAGGGACGCGTGGTCAATGGTCAAATGACTACGGCAAACAACAAATGAGTACGCCCCCCCCCCCCCCACCCC